AAATGAAGAGGAAATGGATAAGGGGGGGGGGAGAAATGCGAGATAGACTGAGAAGAGGAAAGGATATATGATTAATGAGGCTCCCGCCCACGCACTCAACTATCCATTACGGCCAGATAGGTGCGTCACCCTGTTGCGGGGAAGTATCGGACACGGTCCTGTCTTTGCGGCTTCACTGCCGATGCTCACTGAAGAGGCGCCTCTGTTTTTTGCTATCTCTCTCTCTCTCTCTCTTCCCCCGTGCCTGTTGGTCCACACTTCTCGTGCAATAACGCAAAGGGGGCGTGTGTGAAGGCAGCGCTCAGGCCGAGAGAAAACAGGAAAAGAAGCCCAGAAGAAAAACGGAAAGGTGAGGGAACAAAGCAGCATACATATATATATATATATTTGTATATTTGTATATATGGCCACAGTGAACACGGAAGGGAAGTGGGAGTGGGTGCTCATGTCCCAATACGCCTATATCACGACGAAGGAGTACATCAAACTCGGTTGCTCGCTGGGCGCCGTGCAGACGCGCTCGTCGTTGCGCAACGCGAGGCTCCGCTGGAGGGACGCGTGGGGATCCGTTCTGCCGGGCGCCTTGCGGAGGGACAGGACGAACAGCAGAGATGATCCCGGTGATAGTACGACAAACAGCGTACAGGAAGCCTGTGGGGCAGTGGACGAATGTTTGCTACCGCTTCTCCACGAGGTTTCCGCCGTTGCAGAGGTGACGCATGGGCAGTCAATTAGTTTTACACTTCTTGACGCATTTCGGAAGCAGGCCGCGCTTGTCGCCGATGCGCCACGAGAGCACCAAGTCGCTTTCGAGATGGCGGCAACAGATGCCGCCCTTCCCGCCATGAAACTCCGTGGCGCCCCTTTGAGCCTCACGTACGGTGACGCTGTAGCACTGACATCTCTGTTGAGCGAGGCACTTGCGTGGGAGTGGCACGGGCTCACGTGCGGTGCCGCCGACCGCGTGGCAGCGGCAGAAAGGCAGGTGTCCCACGGAAACAGTCCAGCCACGCGGCCGCACACTCTCGCCTTGATGCTCGACAACTGCACGGAGTTCAACCCGATATGGATGGCGGTGGCGGAAGTGAGTGTGTGGATGACGTTCCTCGACGCCCTCTACGACGCTGAGCCGCAGGCGCCGGCGGTGTACCACCACTGCAGTGCGGCGCTGCTCAACACAAACCTCGTCAACCACCGCATGCTGTGCCACAGCCTCGAGTGCGTCACGTCAGAGCTGCTGGTGCTTGAGGAGAAATATGTTCCCCTCCTCTTTGATGGCGCTGACGACGATGGGAAAAGCGAGGCGCAGCAGAAGAATAAGAACGTGGCACTGCCGCCGTGCGTGAAGCGGGTGTTTGTGTGGCGCGGCACTCCTGCTAACGCCTCCATTGCGCCCAACCGCGTGCAGCCGTGGATGCTCGAGAGGGTGCAGAACTTCAATGAGATGCATGCGAGCAGCAAGAACGCCAGCAGCGCCACATTGGACCTCTTTGATCTCGTACGCCATCACTACGAGGCGCCGCGGCAACATCTCTTCCCTATTCTCACGAAGTGCATCTCTCAGTTCCCGCCAGATGTGTTCGTCGCAACCATGGGAAAACAGGAACTACAAAAACAGCAAAAGGCCACTGTCGCTGCGGTGCGCAGCCGCACAAAGGAGGCACTCTTGCGCTTCCGCCCAGTGATGCCGGTTCTGCACATTTATACCTCTGGGACGACGGGACTCCCAAAGGCGGCGCGTTTCAGTCACTTGAGGTTCTTTGCCGCCGTGTTCTTCTCCGCCATGCTCCCACAGCGGGAGAAGACCAAAGAGGTGCTTCTGGGGAAGCAGCGCAACGGCGAAGGTGAGGAGAACGGTCTCTGGTCCAAGTGTGCGAGTGCATTGTTTGGCCGCCGCCGGCACCTCCCTTCCTTCGAAGAAGATCTTAACGTCCTCACAGTGTACAACTGTCTGCCCATGTATCACACGGTGGGATGCGTCTTCTGTATCGGGCACCTGCTACATGGCCTGCAAGAGCAGCAGCAAGCAGCGGGTGCGGTGGATTCATATCGGATAGCCCCGCAATTTCGGGGGAAACAAGTTGGGACTGAGCAGCTGAATCCGCGACGATCAGCCCCGACTGCTCGGATGGTCATTCGAAGCAAATTCAGTGCATCCAACTTTACAAGCGATCTGCAATTATATCGAGTTACAGTCTTCCAGTATATTGGTGAGATACTCCGCTACGCGCTCCATTACGAAAATAGACAGAAGACCAGGGCACCCAATGGCATTCAAGCTCGTGTGGGTGAGGGAGGTGGTGACAAGAGCAAAAACAGTAGCACAGGCGGCAACCATGAGGCGGGTCGGTGGGTTGTTCCATTTGCTTTTGGAAACGGCTTGCGCAATGACATTTGGAGCGAGTGTAAGAATTCCCTCCACATAGCGCAGGTGGTGGAGTTCTATAGCTCGACGGAAGGCAACGTGTTCCTCATCAATCTGTTTGACCTTCCCGGTGTTGTGGGGCATCTGCCGCTATTCCCGAGGCCGATATATTTACTCTCAACGCACTTCAACCCATTGTTCCCGTTCCGAGTCGTCAAGTACGACTTTGAGAAGGGTGAGGTGTGGCGCCAGCCGTTGAGTGGGCGCTGCGCGTACTGTGGCGTGGGTGAGATCGGCGAGATTGTCGGGGAGATCATTCAAGGCTTCGACATGTTTGCTCTCCGCCGTTTCGACGGGTATCACAGCGAGGTGGAGACGAAGAAGAACGTCATTCGGGGCGTCTTCAAGCCGAAGGATGCGTACTTCCTCTCCGGAGACTTGGTGGAGTTCGACGCGATGGGTTTTGTCACCTTCGTTGACCGCGTCGGCGAGACGTTCCGCTGGAAGGGTGAGAACGTCTCCACGACAGAAGTTATGAACGCACTCAGCGGCGTCTCGGGGCGGACAGTAACGGTGCAAGAGGCCATCGTGTACGGCGTCGTGGTCCCCAACCGCGAGGGGCGCGCCGGCATGGCGAAGCTGCAGCTCGCACCGGTCGGGGAGGGAAGTAGCCCCTCACAGCGGCTGACGCTGGAGGAGGAGAGGCTGTTCCTGCAGAATGAACTCTACGGCTTGCTCTCCGGTGCGAGCGGCACCCCAGCCGTGCTCCCGGGCTATGCCATTCCCATGTGTATACGCATCGACGAGGATGCGAGCAATGGTTGCGAGGGGCAACAACCGCAGCAGCAGCAGCAAGGGCCATATTTCCCTGCAGGGAAGGCGCCGTGTGGGCCAATCACTCCTGCCCCGCTATCCAGCGACGCGGCGCACACCACCACGACGTTCAAGTACCGCCGCCATGTGCTGGTTCGCGACGGTTACCGGTACGCTCTCCGGTACGCTCTCTCGTCTAGCGAGAATGGTCCGTCACGCGTGTATGTTTTAGTGACAAAGCGGGAGCTCTTGGAGGCAGTGGGGGCAAAGCCGCTGCCGTCATCGTTTTCGTGTGGATATGTACCGTTGAATACAAAGACATTGGTGCTCCTCGGTGAAGAGCTGCAGAAATGCGGCTGGTAATAGGCCTCTACTCTTTCATTGTTATGTGGTTATTTGTTATGTCATGCATATGTCTCTCTGAGGTTTCTCTGAAAGGGTTTTTTTTCTTCTTTTTTTTTTGCGGCAGACTGAGCGAAGCGCATGGTCATAGTTATTGACGGCTCTTCGTGGAGGCTCTGCTTTCCCTTGTTGAATCTGCCCACCATGTTTGTTGGGTTGTCTTCTAATAGAACGTTTTTGTGTCTAGGTGGCGGCGATAAATAGGTGCTTTCGTTCTCTCACCTTGTGAGACCTGTTCAAGGGTGAGGATATATTCTTGGTCCATTTCTATCACTTTTGTGCTTTGCTTTCTCTCTGTATTCCTTCTTGCTGGATAAAAAGGACAGAAAACGAGCGTGTGGCAACTGAGGGTGGGAGAAAGAGAATACACGAGCAGACATCAGTAAACAAGAAGGGGGGGTGAGTGAAGCACCCTCAATTCCCTTGTGTGTGCGTCTGCGGAGATTTTTCCGTGCACACTCTGTATTGGTTTGCGCCCCTTTCAGGCCTCCCCTTTCTTTCCTGACGCACCCACGGAGTGCACGGGAACATATGCACAGCTGGGTGAGCAGCCGCAGCACCAACAATGGCGGGGGCGGAAATGGGTTTGGTGCAAGTAGCGTCGATATGCTTGCAGAAGAAAGGAGTAGCCTGCAACTCATCATCGATGCACTCAACGTTATGTCCAGTTACTACGACACTGGGCGGATGAGCGGGAATAGCAGCAGAAACAGCAATGGCAGCGGCGGGGTAGTCGTCACAGAGGCAGAGGCAGTGGATTTGCTCGGCATGTTGCCGCGTGTCCTACGTAGCAGCATAGCGTCCACCACCTTGCAGCAGAAAGAACAACATCGTCAGTTAGTTGCTGCCGATGGGGTCGCACGCCCACCACAGCTCTCCCGTCTGGCCACACTCTATCGTCTCTTGTTCACCCCGCTCCTCTCGTCGTCATCGTCTAGTGAAAGTGATGTGCTGAACTGCATTGCGCGTGTGATGATGTGTGGATGTGGTGCGAGGAGCAGCGAGGCATCCGTTTGGTTTCAGACGGACTTCCGACAGGTAACAGCGGCCGCTGAAATGGAGCAAGGGAAAGCGAAGGCAGTGGAATCCGTCACCATAGCGGCGCTGCATTCCCTCAGTGACATTGTGTGGATCTGTCTACACGAGGGTGAAGAGATACGGAGTCCTTCTGGTGGCCATTCTTCCGCATCACGTTCCTCTTCTACTGCGCCGTCCTCCGGCGTTGGTGTTCTGGACAGTGAGATGCAAATGTTGCTGCGGGACGCCCTTGGCCGCTCGCTTTGCCAGTCCGGTCTCTTTGAGCACCTCTGGCGCTCCGTGCTGTTTCTCCCCATTGAGGACACCCAACGTGTGGCAGTCGTGCGGATCCTCTACGATGTGAGCCGTGCAGGTGTTCTGCGGCTCCCTACCGTCATTGCGCAGACGCGGTATTCCACCCTTCCTGATGTGTGGGGTGAACGTGTGGCGGAGTGCATTCTCTCCGACCCCGCTCCTGTCGTAAAGGAGTGCCTCGCCGCGATGCTGCGCGAAGGGTTGTTATCTGCATTGGTTAGCAGAAACAATGGTGGTGATAATCATGGTTATGATTACCTTCATTGGAGAAGGTGGCTGACCAACGCCTCTCTTTGGCACTTGCTCCGTGTTGTGGCGTTAGAAACTTGCTTTGAAGTGCTGCAGCCAGTGCTCTGTACACTGTTGCTGGCGTTGGAACAGGAACACCTACAGCAACGGGAGGGCAGACAGTGTCAGCGGCGAGCCGCTGGCAGCCCTTCAGAAGGACGGATTGACCTGGTGGCGGTGGTGACCGTCTGTAGCACGACGTTGGCGCATCTCTTCAGTGGCCCAGGTGCGGTGAACGTAAGGGTTTGGGGTGTTGATAACGATGCGGAGTTACGAACCAGTCGCCTTCGCGTTTCCGGGGTAGTGCGGCTGCTGCGTCTTGCACTGCAGGGCGTTGACCGGTTGCTGATGCAACCTGGCGAAAGCGGCCCCCGAAACGGTAGTGATGCCGATGCTGTGAAGGAGGCGTGTCTGCTTCTGCGTACGTGTCTGGATAAGCAGGTGATGACCGCCACGCTAAAATGTGTGGAGAAGCCGCCCCATAGGACCGGGCGCCCCTTCGCGACACGGGCAATGCGAACCGAGATGGTGCGGCTTCTGCGCGACCTCGTTGAGCGCGCCTCCCCGCCACTGTTCTTCTTGGCAGGCAATTTGGGGCCGTACGTGCCAGCGATGCTGCAGGTGATTCTTGACGCTGGAGAAGACTGCGCGCAGGAGGAAGGCAGTTGTGGTGTCGCCGATGGCTCGCTTCCACCGTGCAGCCCGTCGCTGTGTCAGGTGTGCAGTGAAACTGTGGAGATGGTGTTGCTGTTGGGTGTGGCGATGTGGCAGTCGCCCGCGGTGCGGGAGCAATTCACGGCGACGCTCGCTGCCCTGCAGTGCACGCCAGCGCAACGCGGGCTGTTGTTCGATGTGCTGGAGAATTTAGCCCAAACAGCGCCGGCGCACGCTGTGGAGAGTCTTCTTGTCGTTGACGCCGTTGGTGTCGTGGTGAATGAGCCGAGTAGGTTGCGCTGGACCGATAACCAACCGCAGTTGAGCTCGGTTCAGCGACTCTTGCAGCAGCAACGCCAGAAAGCGGATGGTGGGGTGCGGCGCAGGGCCTCGGAGAGCGCGATGCCCGAGGAGCGGTGGGCCGCCGTGCAGCAACAGCGGCACACGTTGGGTTTGCAGCACACCCGCGCCGCTGGCACCCTTCTGTGGTTCATCCTACATCACCTTCGCAGCGACCGGGGAAAAACAGAGGCGCAGGATGAGGAGGAGGAGGAGGAGGCCAGTGGCGTCTCTCTCTCCCCAATTCAATTAAGTGGTAGCGGCAGCACAGTAAAGGCGCGTGTGGAAAGCGAGCCCGATGGTGTTGTCGCGGTGGTGGCTGAACTTCAGAAAGACCGTTGCCGTGACGACGATGTGCCCTGCCTCGAGTCACCGCCCCACACTCTAATACGGCACCGGCATCACGAAGAAAAAAGTCTGGAGTCGGAAAGACATGACGGCACAACTGATGCGCTTTGGCTGTACCAGACGTACGGCATTCACCCGCCGATTCCTTCGCGGCACCCTCCACGGCAACAGCAAGAGAAGAATGTGGCGATAACGACAAGGGCAACGAAGATAGTGTCGGCGCCGGTGACTAATATCGTAGTACACAGAAACACAGTGAGTTTGTGGGACCGGGTGCGGCAGCGTCAATTGGAAAGCACTGCGGCGGAGGAGAGTGCGTACCACGCTGCCTTGGGGTTGTTCGCCTCTCTTGCCTCGCGCTACTACCGGCACCTCCTCACACCGCAGGCGGCCCTCAAGTACCTGCAGCAGCAGCAGCGTGTCGGGCCCATGCATCCACCGCTGCTCAGGCCGCACGAAAGCACGCACACGTGCAGCCCGCTACGACCAGCAACAGCGGGGAGAAACAGCGGCGCCGCGTTGCGCCTGTGGACGGCGCGTGATGTGCGGAAAGAAGACCTTTTCTTGTTTGTGCTCCCCATTCAGGAGGTGAAGGAGGCAGCGCTGGTGGCCCTCGTGGAGCGTTGCAGGTCGCACCAGAAGGCACTGCAGCGATCCCTGCGGATTGCACCGCAGGCACCGCGTGGACGCCGCTGGTTTCTGGACGACGCGGCGACGAATATCATGGGTCGCCTCATTGCGCTGCTGCAGATCCTGTTGCAGCACATCCAGCGTGAAGGGGAGCAGGCGGTGCAGGACGCCCTCGCGCAGATGCCACCATTTCCTGTGGAAGTGATGGAATTAAACGACGAGGCGGCGCACCGGCGTCTGTACGAAAGCGCAAAGCCGCAGGAACTGCACTGTGGCACCGTTGTGGAGGTGACGAAGTTTGTCGTTCGATCCTTTGCACGCGACGCAAAGCCCGTTGGGGGAGAAGTGGCTGTGAGGCAGACGCTCCGGCCCGGTGTCGGGTGAGCGCGGCGCGGATAGGGTGGCAGTCCCTGAAGAGGGAAGAGGTACGCGCCATTCGGCGTGTGCGCCTGCATAGAAAAAATCCTTCCATATTGCGGCGGCGGCTAGAAGAGGCTGCTGGCCAACGGAACGCGAAGACGGGGTGGGGACTTGCTGCTCTTTCACATTTCTGTATTTTATTCCGTACCACCAGCCAGTCCTGAATGGGGTGGCGCGGCACATGTCTCGTTACGCATACTTGCAAACATTCACATTGTCACTCTCTCTCTCTCTCTCTGTTGTGTGCGTGCTACTGTTGCTGTTGCTGCCTCTGCGCTCTTCTCGGAAGAACGCGTACAAGCGAACCCGATCAAACCAACATCACACCACTCATGCCTCTCACCCTGACGAAGGACGACAACGGCACGACCGTCCGCGTGGCACTCGGCGACGCCATTCGTATTAACCTGCAGAGCACGCCCAGCACCGGCTACCAGTGGACGTGCGAGAGCTGCCAGAAGATGGGCGAGCACAACAAGGCGTACGCCATCACCAGCGAGTTCAAGCACCACCAGGCGGTTATGCCGGGCGCCGCCGGCGTGCAGCTCATCACGGTGACCCCCAAGGTGGCTGGCGAGCACGAGCTCATCTTTGACTACGTGCGGGGGTGGGAGAGGAACGCTGCTCCCGTGAAGCGCTTCGCTGTCAAGATGGTGGTCGCCTGATGCGCTGGTCTGTGAAGGAGGGGGAAGTGGGGAAATGAAGTGTGATACAACTGCAATGAGAGCAAAAAAAAAAAAATGAACACGATGGAAAAATAAAACGGGACAAAGGAATAGTACGATCAGTATACAGTGCCTCCGGAAGGTGGGTTCTCAAAGTACGAAGCGGAGTTGCCCCAGTCTTCTAGACATGTGAAAGGGAAAAAAGGAAAAAAAAAGGGGGGGCTATGGCTACCCGGAGTTTCGCGATGCGCACTATATTTACATTTTTTTTTCTTTCCTCTTTGGGCTTCTTCAATAAGCGACGAGTGAGCTTGCTGACTCCATTCCCTTTTTTGTTGTTGTTGCTGCTGCTGCTGTGGGCGGCTTTGGGCCCACGAGGTGCTCTCTGTGCGTATTGCGTCCGCTGCCTGTTCTCTTGGTGGTGTTTTGTTTTGTTTTTTGTTCAACAACCCGGCCCAGGGAAGGGATCAGCGAAGGGAGGGAGAGAGAGAGAGAGAGAAAGAGCGTCTGGGTGCGTAGGGCTGGTGGATGGAGCGCATTGGCGAGTTTGTCGTCCTATCGTACCACGACGTGCGCGATGCCGCCACACTGCACGAGCAGTTTAAGCGGCGTGCCATTGACGCAGCCGTGATCGACTCGGCGTACATCATGTCGCGGCTTCACCTGGTGGTCGCGCTGCACCGCATCACGCGCCTGTCGTTCGCCATTGACGCGAATGGCGAGACAGCAGCAGCAGCAACTGCCGCAAAACGGTCGCCGCCGACCCCCCGCGACGTCTTCTCGGCGCTCTCGCACACGCGCAACCTTGACCGCGTGCTGCAGCGCCTCACCTGCGCGGAGACGACGAAGGCCGTCGTGATTGTTCTGATCGCCCCGTCAGCCGAACACATCGCGGCTGTTGTGGAAATCGTCAAGGGTGTGCAGCACGAGTTGTCGTCACTCGCGGCGTACTGCGATGAGGCGGCAGTGCGGGACTTCTACGGCGTTGGAAGCACCGAGGCGGCGGCGCTCGATGTGGCCGTTGTGAACCGCCTCGTCACGAGCGATATTTGACCTGTGACAGGATTGGAGAGAAGGAGGGGGGAAAGCCTGCGTGCGTGTGTGTGTGTTTGTGTCTGTTCTGTATGTGTGTGCTGAGGAAGAAGGGGGTGCCACGCCCATGCGCGCTTCTGCCCCCCTCGGACGCCTCAGCAGGAAGAAGGTCAAGGAAGCCGTGCGGTGCCAATGGCGGCACACGTCAAGGTGTGCGAGATGGGCGCGAGCTACGGCGTGGGGACATTCGCTACGCGGCCCCTCCGCGCGGGGGATGTCCTGCTGGAGGAACTGCCCGTTGCCTTTACACTGTCCCTGTCCTCGCGGCTCGATTCGCGCTTCTGCATGGGCTGCGGAACGAGGCTTGCAACTCTGCAGGAGGAGTGCGAACGGCTCGCGCGTCTCGCTCAGGGTGTGGTGCAACAGCAGCAACAGCAACCGTCGGACGGTGATAATAATAATAATGATGATAATCTGGAGGCTGTGAAGAATGGCGGTGGTGTGCAGTACGCGGAGACTCTTCGCTCTCCTCGGGCGTTGTATGAATCATTAAAGGAGTTCGGTGCATCTAGCTTCTTCTCTCGTGGTGTTGCGATGGATGATGATGATGACGGCGATGACGAAGTACAACCACTAGGAGCCGAATCGGAGGCAAGAGTGCGGTTCTGCTGTGCGAAGTGCAGGGCGCATTGCCTGCACGAGCGAGGAGGGAAGTTCTTGCTGTCAATGCCACCTATTGCCAGAAAGACAGTCGCCGCACAGACGGTCCACAGCCTGCGTGAGCCGTCAGCCGAGACCATCATGCGGTGCGCCGTCGCCTTGGATACGAAGGCGATGGAGGAAGCGTGGCCTAGTAAAGCCCACACCCTGGCGACACTTGAGTACCTGGCAAATATCTACAATGAGCGGTTGCGTCTCATTCTCGCACTCCTCTCCCGTTGCCTCAGTGAAACTACTTCAGGAGCTGATCTGCTTCCTCTAAAGGACCTCCAAGATCGCTTCAGAGAGACGGTGCAGGCCATGGTGGTGCGGTACGCTGAAGGGGCCCCGCGCACGTTGACGGAGCAGCAGCGTGCATTCCTTCGTTTCTCGTGGAAGTGCGTGTGTCGCTGGCTGGGCCTCTGCTGTGCGGGGGCGAACAGTGAGACAACCGCAACGGATCCCTTTGCGTGGCTCTCGCTGCAGTTGTACCTTCGCTGCTACTGGCTTGCAGACGCCAACGTGCACATGTTCGTGGTAGTCTCGCCGCTCTACAGCCTGCTGTGTCAGAAGCTGCCGGTGCTGTGCGCAATATGCCGGCGCAGTGAGGGCGAAGGTGAGGGTGCGCAGTCGGCCCTGCGGCTGCGTCGACAGATGTGTGTTCTGCGGGAGCTGTTCCGCCTCGTTGACCCCTGTGCCGCACACGCCACGGGTGTCGCGCTATACGACGCCGCGACGAAAATCAACCACAGTTGTGTGCCGTGTGCACGGTTTGTTCCCACGCACGGCCGCGTCCGCGCTGTAGTAGTGGCGCTGCGCGACATTGCGAGCGGCGAAGAGATACGCTCCTCGTACGTTGACCTCAGTGCCTATGCTTCAAAGGTGGAGCGGCAGGACTATCTACTGACGCACTACGGCTTTAGCTGTGACTGCCCGTTGTGCTGCGTCGACGAGTGAGAGAGGAGTGTTGATTTTGACTATGGCAATAAGCAGCTGCAGCTGCTGCTGCTGTCCCTGTTATCTCGCCCGTAAAAAAAAAAGTATATATCGGCCTAATTAAGGGCACTGCTTGGACTGTATTTCCTTTCTGTGTTTGACTGCTTTTTTTTGTTCTCTCCGTATTCGTGTATTGAGAGCCAGCACAGATGAGCTTCAGTTGCCGTTTATCATCCCGCTCGCTCATCCGTGTCTCTGGCACAATGGCGCACGAGTTTCTGCAGGGTCTTTTCACGAACGATTTACGTCTGTTGCAACCGGGTGGCAGTATGTGGGGGTGCTTCCTCTACCACACTGGGCGTGTGATGTGCGACGCCTATCTGTATCAGTCATCGCGCGTGTATAATGGACAGGCGGCAATTCTAGTGGATGTCCATCGCAATGTGGCAGATACTCTGCACGATCACCTGCTCGAGATGCGTATGCGTAAGAAGGTGCAGATACATGACGTTAGCAATGAGCTGACGGTGTTGGCAACTGCACTCTCTGAGAAGAGCACACAACGTGAGGAGAAGGATGCATTGGTGGCATCGTCACCATCATCAAATGACACTCTGACTAGTGGTAGTGGTAGTGGTAGTAGTAGTAGTAGCGGCAGCAACACAAGTGCTGCGGCCCAAAAAAAGACATCAGCTATAAGCCCTGAGGCTGAGGTGTTTGTGGACCCCCGTAGCTTTGCCCTTCCGTCACCTCTTCACAAGACCATTCTTCCTGCAGCGTGGGTGCCGTCCACAACGGATCCTACGGCTCTGTATGACGCGTTCCTTTACGGCGCCGGGATTGGCGAAGGGCCCGACGTGTTTCGCCCCTCCAAGACGCTCCCATTCGAAGCCAACACGGACTTCCTCCGTGGCGTCAGCTTCCACAAGGGGTGCTACCTTGGGCAGGAGCTCACACATCGCACGCACGTTATGCTGGTGACACGAAAACGCACCGTCCCGCTGCGTCTGCCGCACACCCGCAATGGAATGGGTGGCACACGGCTTGTCGAAAAGGGCGAGGTACTGCTTGTTGATGGGCAGAAGGTTGGTGAGGTGCTCGCGGTGAGCGGTGACGTTGGACTCGGTCTGCTACGGCTGCGCTACGTGGACAGTGCCACGCGCAAGGTCCCGGGGCTCGTGCTGCATGATGCCCTGCCGGTGACCGTGTCGATACCGAGCTGGTGGGAGGAGAAGGAGGTGCGGAAAGTGCTGTCGGGGCCATGACAGCGAAGTGTGGGGGGTGGTCGGTGCCCCGTTGTTACTCCGTTGCCGTAGGACTGAAGAGGCACCGAGTGAAACGCATGTCGGTTTGTCCATTATTATTTTTTT